CTGTCTTACTTAGAGTATTGCTCTCTCTACCAATTGATAAAAGACATAGCAGGGACACAGTCAAAGCACTGAGGTACTGGGATAAACACTGTAATGAGCTACTCTGGAAAACAAAGTTTACCACCAGAAACACTTAAAAGGCTGTGTACAGAAACAGAAATTTCTAAATCACTGAACACCTCTAACATAGCCCAAAATTTCATGTTTTCTCTACTGAAGAGCCGAGCACCTCAGAGGTTCTGTTGAGCTGAATGCTCTTTTATGCTGCAGTGCAGGTCTGTTTTGGACCACAGCACCAAGAACAGCAGTGATAAAGTACTGCACAAAGAACAGATCAGCACTACTGTCTCATTCACTGCATCCTCATGTTAGGATTTTGCATCATCTTTCTGGATTCAAACTATGACTGGCAGCTAAAACTAAATTACAACTCACTTATGTAAATAGGAACTTGCTTGCTACATGAAATAGTCATGCCCTCCAAAACCCTTGCACTTTATCTTGGGCTTGGACTTCATTATTCACCCTTATTCAAACTCCAAGATCTGCAGAGGTGCACAAAACTTTTTAGAAAATGGACTGTTTTTAATTATGCCACCAGATAAAGACAAGAAAAGCAGAAAACAAGAGAAATGTGATAACTTGATGTTTTAGATAAAGCACCTTTAAGTTTTATAGAAAGTACAAGTATAATACTTCAAAAAGTCAAAGTAATATCTGAAAGATTAATCTGAAAAGCAAAATAATAGCACCTATTTGGTACAATTACAGAAGACAGACTGAAGGAACAGACATCTTTTTTTCTCAGGATGGGGGAATACATTCACCAGCAGAGTCTTGTAACCAGTTTAAAATGAGAGCTCACAACTCCTCTCTGTGTTAATTTCTGCATCTCTGTAAATCTCTGTTCAGTTTTGGTTTCTCTTCCTTTCTCTCTCCTTATGGTTTTCTTTTTTCTGATATTCCCACTATTTAATGCACTTTCTAGCTGAGACCATACAAATCTAAAGCTGTGAACAGATGATCATAAATTATTAAATTACAACAGCATGACTGTTTATACCCAATGTCAAGTGAGTCGCATTAATTGCGAACTCGGGAACTTTATAGTTTTGATGTAAACCACTGTATTTGAAAACACCTGTTTCAAATGTTTAACATTAAAATTTGAGAGCTGCAATTTAAAACAAATACAACAAATAATGTAAAAGTTGGTGTACATCTCTCCCCCTTGTTTCTCAACTCCAGTAAACACAGCTCTTCATAAAGAGAGAGGCTGATTGTCTATCTGCATATTCACACAATAAAATACACCCTGTAGTGCAACTGTAATTTTATTTATAATTTATTGTGATTGATACCTATTAATTGGAACTTATAGGAAAGTTTAGGAAGGAGAGCTTTTCCTTATCCATGTATTACTTCCTGCATGTTGTCAGTTTTTCTGCTATTCTTCATCACCTTTATTGGACTTGATGAAAAAAAAGCAGAAGAGAGAAACTATTTTTGAAAAACAGAACACTTGATTAGAAAAAAGAAGAAACTAAGAGTAGCACTTAAAGCAATGTTAATATTTAAAAATCATCTCATCTTTCTGGGTTATTAGGCTCCTTAAAGAAATGCTAGCATATTCTTTTCATGCAAACTGAGTTCAATACAGCTACAGCGTCTCTAGTAAATTCAGGACATGTTTTGTATTTTGTTTGAGGGTTTCAGGTAGAGCAGAAAGGTTTTTCTTGCCTGATTATCCTTTCACTACTTACAGGTGTGCATTAGGGACAGGCTTCTACCCTGCAGTCCTTTCTTTCTTACTTAGTACAGGGATCAGTCTTGTGATCTAAATGTCTGACAAAACCAGCTCAAACTGTCCACAAAATTCCTTAAACAACACCAACAGACAGGAACTGACTGCCCTGAGAATTTGATATGAAAAGGCAAAGACCTATCAACTTGTACAAAGTAAGACTTTTATTCCAGTATTAAAACCCAGGAATGTCAGCTTACGTATGATCTAACACGTTAAAGACAGACCACAACTTTCTTTCTTTTTTCTTTTCCTTCTCATTTCTTTCTTTTCTTGTCAGAGAAGTAGCTAGTGTGATTCCATCTGAGAGTTTCCAGGCACACAACGAGGTTTATGACCCACCTATTCCTGATCACCTATTAATATCAGCTTTATGAAGATAAATATTCCCTCAGATGAAACAAAAAGCTCCCCTAGGTAGTAACCAGGTAAAATTTGTGCTTGGACCCTGTACATCTTGTAGCCTTTAAGAAGAAAAGGTAGAGGAAAACCTTGTGTGCTCTTTGGGGTGCACAGAATGAAAACATTCAATCACAAGACTCCTTTCTTGCCTTCTCCTTCATCCCTAGTCTGAAGTCTCTCTTGCTCTTCCATGCAAGGAAATGGAGACTTACTGGTGAATGCACAGAGTAACCAGGAACTGCTGAATGTGGACAATTGTGTTGTCCAACAAGGATGTGGAGAGATGCAGCTTGTAACAACCAGCCAGTCTTGTCCAAGCACAGGCATGTGCCAGAGCCCTGCAATTCGAACAACTGCAGCTTGCCTAGACCAGCTGCAGATCTAGGATATCAAAGCCACACAGAATACCTGCAGGTCCATGCAGGCTGGTATCTTCCCTGACATTCTCTGGGAAATGCATGCAGAAGGTAACACATGGAGTCTGCAACAAAAGGCAGACTTCCAGGGAAGGGAATCTTACTCTCTGCCATTAGCAGTGCCTGCTGGTATCCTCACCTGCACTCTGCAAAGCAGCACTGAAGTAACAGCTTCAGTCACAAAGATGGCTGCTGGCAGAAACTACAGGGATTTTTATCATTTTCTGCCACTTCCTGTGCTGCCCTCCCCACATCCCCCTCTTTGCACCAAAGGGAGACGTGGCTGCCAGTCCCTGTAACAAACTGATCTGACCCACCCCACCTCCTCCTCACTCGGATTGAAGCCAGCCACAGTGAACAAGGCCATGGGAAAGAAATTACACCACATCCATAAAACCAGACATATTCCCAACCAAGCCAGGAGGCAGCACAGGGATAGTATTTTACTTTGCTGCTAGGCTTCTGAAGCCCAGCTCTGCTCCTAAATTTCTCAGGGCACCAGTTGTCATGGATGCTTCTGAAAGGAAGAAGCAACCATTCCCACAAGGCAGCTGAAAACACTCAGCCAAAATGCATTGGTATGTCCAAACTTAAGGTCTGAACTTTCTTCAGAGAATGTGCTCTACAGCTGGGAGGTGTGGAGGGCACCTGCTTATTTCCATTCAGACTGACAAAGCCACAAAAGAAGTCTGAGAAGGGAGAGATCTCTGCTGAGGAAAAGAATGACAAGCCTATTTCCATGTTTTAAGACTGCAAAACTACTCAAATGGTTATAGTGAGAGACCTGTGCCCTTTGGCACAGTGAAGAATTGAGTTTCAGATAATAAAAATCTATAAAAATGCATATTTGAACTAAACTGGTACTGACTCAGCACCAAAATAGCCTGAGGGTTACACCTGCATACTCAAATTAATCTTCAAGTACCTCTTTTGCTATGCAGGGTATTTTATGTTACAGTTGCAGCATACTTATATAACCTACTCGAAATGTATTTCCCCTTGTTTGGAGTAACAGCTTTTTGGAGAAGTCTCATAAAGTCCAATTTGGAAAGAAATTAAAGAGCCTTCCCCACGTCTTGCTTCCTGAGTATCACACAGAATACCTGCTGTGCTCAGATCAAGGAGGTCTCTGCTGATTACAGAGCACAGGTTAAAATGTACTGAGCTGCTAATAAATGGAGGCTTATATAAAGCCTTTAAAAGTCTTCAGCAGCGAGCATTCTATATGGCTTACTGGGAAGTGCTCTCCTTGGACCTTGTACTGACAGTGGAGTAGGTCTGTGTTCAGTGTGACACCCAGGGGAACAGCAGGCACAGAACCAGGGAGGGCAGGCCCCAGAGCTTAGCCCATTTCTGTCCCAAGGGATGTTAAACATAGCGTTACCATTCCTGACAAAAGCATCTTCCTGAAGATATCCAGCAACTGTACCTCTATCACCCTCCTTCCCACACACACCAGAAGTCTACCCCAGCTCTCACTACTGTCTGCTGCAATTCAAGCTTTTTTTAGGACTGCTTGTCCTAAACATCATGGAGATCAGTAACAGGCTGCTCCCTTTCTCACTGAAGTCTCTTGGAAGCTCCTCTCAAAGTCTCTTTGTCACGTGAAAGTTATTATAATCAGTACTCCATGGCAGGTTTTCTGGGCCTCCTGCTTTCCTCTGGGTTCTCTCCAGTTGACCCAAATCTTTCATAAAGAATTTAGTACAGCAGTCCACCTACAGCCACTTCAAGCCTGAACCAGGCATAAGGATGATTTCTAATGTCCTGCAGGACAACAGTGCTACATAATCTGATATTGGACTATGCTTGGGTAGATGCTATGAACTGATTAAGATCTTTTATTGCAATAAACCTGGAACCACCATTCTATGAAAACAGGAGCAGTGTGTATATGTTGTGTACATTATCAAAGACAGCATTCTCACATTACCAAACTATATAATTCAAATTACTGGGTAACAAGTACACTCTCTGTCCTGGAATCAGCAGTACCAGACATTATCTCTTAGTCAGGAGGTGTACAGTTATGTACAAGAGTCACAGCAGCCAACTCTCATTATCCTGAAATACCTTTCTCAAGGAGCTTTCACCAGGCCATTCTGCTTGTTTGACAGGCCAGGTATTTCATCTGGCTTTTCCTGAGATACAGCTTCCAGACTGTGGTCAAACAGTAGCTATGAACCACTTAAAATGATAAACAGCTCTAATGCAGCCTAGATTAGTGATATTAGAAAAGGTCTCTTCCCTCCTGTGAAAACACTTTTACATACAGTTTAAGGACAATTGTCTGCACTTCTCCAGCTTAAGTGGCTTTACAGGCCATGAAATTCCTGTAACCTAAAACTACATGACAAAAATCTGCCCCTTGTACTTACCCTTCTCTTTGGTACTCCTCATCCAAATTTGGCAAAAGCTGGGACCCAGCCACAGACAGATCAAGTGCAGCCAAAGGTAGATCTCGATAAGCAAAATTAACAAGCTGCACAGGAGCAATGCTTTTGGTCTCTTCTTCCACTTGTTGGGAAATTATCTCAACTTCTGAAACACTGCCTTCAATTGTAGGCCTGAAAATTTAATAAACACATGTATACACATAAAGAATTATAAATTAGCAAGCAAGTAAAAGGAAGTTAGAGACAAGAACTTCATGGAATCCTAAAGAGCCAACTTAAAAGGCCTCTGCAAGGTCATTGAGGAGGTGTTGTCATTAAGGAGGTAGATCAAAACTCCTGAAACTTTAGTAGATCTCACTGTAATCAACAGAAACCTCACAAAGGAGAACAACATTTCACTCTGCTGAATCTGCTTCAAAAGCACAAAATATAAATGTCTGTGTTAAACAGAGAAAAAATGCATGAGTCCAAAAGGAAAATACAGAAAGAGGGCATGTAATTATGCCAACTAAGGATTCGCTGCTTTGTAAGTTAGATTGGAGAGCAATGAACAGCTAGGGTTTTTAATTATTATATACAAATCAACTGTTAACTACTAGGTGCATTTAGACCCCTCTTCAACTGCATATATGAATACTGATTCAAATAGTTTTGACGGATGGCAGCTTTGTTGCATTTACCTAAAAAGGATAATTCTGTTACAAGTTATTTCAAAACAGTTCTGAAATGGAAGAGCGATTCAGAAGAATGATGGCCTCCTCCTCCTCCTATCTTAACTAACCTTATGTACAGCTTCTAAATCTGATCAGCAGATCAGATTTATTCTTTTAGCAGCCCACTAACACTAATGGAAACTCCACGCAGCTAAAAACAGTCTGACAATGTGTATGTCTCCCACATTTAGAACAAGATACTACTTCTGTAGGAATTTTATCTGTTACCATTAGTGCATGCACTGGATGACTTGACTGTAGGACACAGCTTGCATGTCAAGGGTTGATCTTTGCACCCAGCAAAGCTGCTTGCCCTGTTTGATTCCAAGGATGTGCCAGCACAAATTTCTCCAGCTTTCTTCCAGGGGAGCCTGGTAACTCTGGAAGAAATCTCAGCTACTGTCAGAGATTTACAGCAGGTGTGAAGATACTCTTTTTCCACAGGGGTATAGTTAAAAAATTCTTGGCACCCTGTGTTATTTGACTGCAAAAATAGCATTTTATTTTAAAGAAGTGTATTAAAATCTTCCAGCAATTTAAGCAATCTGGTTAGCAGTTCCTTTTTTTCCCCCGAAAATAAGAGGCTACTTTAGAAGACCACTTAAGTGGTATATCTTGCATAAGGATATAATTTAAAGATGTGGGTGAAGGAAGTAAAATTCTATGTTGAAAGTTTCTGTTGGTCTGAGTCTCACCATTAGACTAATTCTTTCAGCTGGAAGACATTACTCTTTAATTAAATGGAGCTAACTACTGCCAGAATTACCAAGAAAGTAAAATGCTGTTATATGTAGAGTATTTGGCAGGGAAAGGCTGCAGCTGTGTCATACTGTGGCAGAAAAAGAAGGCAAAAGGCAGTACTGTTTGAACAACCTAAAAGCTTTTATTTTATTCATGTGTAACTAATAATGGAGAGTAATGAGATTCCTTAATTTCCAACAGAACTGTATTCTTCTGTAAACAATCTGAAATCAGAAACCCAGAGGTAAAAGCTAATTTTAGCAAGAATTTTCTTTGACTTTCAAATTTAATGCCATCCTGTGGACATGTACCATTGTAAGTCCAAGCTGGCTCAGTTTTGCATGAAAGAACATACAATGATCCAATTTCCAGTAGTATAAAAGAAACAGGAAATGAGTTGGTGCAGCCTTCCCTCCCCCAACAGTACTGAGTTTCTGTATTCTTACATAGACTAGATGACAGAAAAAGTCTGATGTGATTGAAAAGAAAACCAAACAGACTGGTGTTGGCAGACAGAACTGATGGCGGGAAAAAGAAAGATAAACAGATCTGAAAATAACATACTAGTTTTGAGCCACTGCTGTTAGTAATGCACATCAGACATGCTGACAGCATCATTCATGTAGTTTCTACTAATTCACACACTTTATACAAACACAAAACCTCCAGTATGTCACATCATTCTTATCCAGGCAGCAGCATGTTCCCTTTCATTTAAACTAATTTGTATTGCATAGTACTTACTGAGGATTGGTCATGTTGGAAGATGCAACCAAATCAGCAGTGGTTCCAATATCTAACTACTTCCAGCTGCTCTGCATTAGAGTTCTAGCCTTGCAAGATCAGGTCTCTGTGAGAAGCAAAACAAGGTTATCTAAAACACAGCTGAAAGAAATCCAAAGGGCTACACTGACTTCTGTTGTCATGTGCAAATGTGACTAATAAGTTAGTTCCCCTCTAGGATTCTTTTTCAAAGTGTTTTTATTCCAGGTTAATTCCTCCATATTATGGAAGCTGTAAAGGTACAGTGAATTTATGTTTACACACAGGCACATACATAATTCCATAAGAACACAAGTCTTATTTTAAACAACTAGACTGTTGAGAAAATAACCAAGATCAGAGGGGGGGAAGGGGATTTGAGAGAAAGCTCATGGCTTCAGGAGTGTAAATTCTATTGGAAGTCAATTATTTACACTTTCTAGACATAAGCATTAACACTGCCAATGAAGTTTGGGGGTTTGTTCTTCATTTTCCAGTTTGAACTGTTCCTGACTCCCTTTGCTATCTCAGAAAGTCTCTTCCAAAAATTAAATAATGTCATCAAACATTCTAGATGGGCTGTTATCAGGATAGTGTTTTGATCAACAAAACCTGTAACACATTTGGAAAAGGCAAAATCTCTACTTGTCCTGTACCTGGAGCAATGCATGGCCACCAGAGCAAAAGAGGACAAGCCTGTGAGAATGAAACCTACTGATACACAGGTTTTGGAAGCAGAAAAAATTAGGAATACCACACAACAAACAAAAGTTCTTAAAAATGAGAGATCTTGTGAATCTATTGTGAAGATTTGATGCTACAAAATTTTTAAAAGGAACATAAAAACAGACTCTTATTTTGAGAAACAATAATAAACATTGGCAAATTAGAATTACTTACAATAACTAGTGATCATGAAAAATGCTCTTATACTAAACTTTACCCTAGAGTCACTTACAGGCTGAATTGTTAGTCAAGTATTTGCAGTGGAGACATACAAATGTAGCTCCATTAAGATCCTTAACAATCACTTCATACAAAAAAGTAAAATTGAACTTGCATCTTTTGTAGAGCCATTTCAAAGGCTTTATTTGATGTTTTGTAATTTTACAAAAATGCAAAATGTAGCCAATGTATTTTCACATTTTCCAGGTAATGCACCTGGGTACGCAAGAAAAAAAAGTTCTACACTGTGATCACTCTCCTCAGGTAGGTAAGTCATGCAAAAGCAATTTAATTTAATATGAAAAGGACAAAAAACAAAACCAAAATATTTTAAAACAAAAGATCACACATACTTTAGAAAGTATTTTGTTTCTTTAAAACTTTAGAAAACTTTAATACTTTAGAAAGACACACACCCTCTATTTATTTACAATCTTGTAATACTTGTAAAAACAGAGCAAGAAGGAAATTTTTTTCAGATAAAGCTTTGCTAATACAGCAGAAACTTGATTTCATATCCATTTAAGTATCAATGGGAGTCAATTTCCTGGTCTTTGTATGCCTTAAATTATTTCATCTACTGTACCCCTAAGGCACAAAAATACTAAAACATTTGCCTAAATTTTTGAGTATTTCAATCACACAGAGCTTTCTGATGGGAACTGTTGCATGTACCAGCACAACAAAACTAAAATATAAGACTCAGACTTGGTTTGCAATGTTAGCTCCCCTAACATCGCATTTTCAGTTGACATTTTTACAACACAAAACAACCCCAAACAATTTTGAATGAAAAATTTTACCCAACTCGGTTGTTCTAAGCACTCAGCATGAGAACATGGTCAAGGCATGAGGTACTGTGCACCTGTCTTCTGAGAGTGAGAAAACTGAGAATCTAACTGCTCTAACTGCATTTGCAGGCCTGGAGAGTAAAAAGTACATGGGGATGCAGCTGATTTAGGAAATGGGAATAAGACTGATGGAAAGTGGCCTTAGAGGATGGACAGGCATATATACATGTGGAAGCTTCTTAACCTAGTAAAATCTCACCATTTATTTGGGAGACAGCACAGTGCTGGTAACCCCAATCTCACTTCCAAAGGGGACTTAGAAAAGAAAGCAGTGACAAAAACTGTACATCTAGATTTTAAGAAATCTTTTATGATTAATCCTAAGATTGTAGGAATGGGCCAGGACACAAACATTAAATATTTGTCCCTCCCTACTCTCACTTTCCCAAAGCTGGAAGTGGATTTGCAATTAACCAGAATTGCGTTTTACAGCTCAGCCGGGGCTCTGAACGGGATGTGACCAGTGGCAGCAGTACCAGGCCAGGCCAGCTCCCTCCTGCTGGAGCTGGCAGCTGTGCAGGTAAAGTTTGCTCACCCCAGGCCTGGAGGAGCCACTGGCAGGAGGGCACAGCTCCTCTGCAGGGAGCAGAGTCCAGTTCGCAGCCGCGGGGATCGCCACCATGACACAAGGAGCTCACCGGGCTGAGACGAGAGACGGGGACTCGGCTCTCCACGGGACTCACTGCAACCTCCCTGAAACAGAAAGTGGCAAAACGTGAGTAATCTCTGGGACAAATTACTAATGTATTAGCTGATCTAACAAACTGAAGAGACAAGTCATAAGTGCAATAAGAAGACAAAAAAGATGTAATAGGTTGTGTGTATGTATCTCCGAAATGGATTACTGTGATTCACGCTTCTTTCCAGGCTTTATGCAAGCAACAGAAAGAAACATCTTAACATATACTGGTATTCTGCAAAAATGTTGTTTTTTTTTTTACCATTCATTCCACCTCATCTATTTGTTTTTACTTCCCTTTAAAAAAAAAAATCACATTTCAGAGCAACATAATTTGAAACTTCCACAAGAAATTTCTGTGCAACTGAGTAGTGTTTAAAGGCAGCAGGGATAAGCAGGGAAAGCTTATTCTTTTAAACTTATCTTCTGCTTGCATTCCTATAGGATTTTCCTGTAGGTGAAGTGAAATGACATTGCTCTTCTCCCTGCCAACAAAGACAGGCAACTTTTGGATATTCCATCCATTGTCTGAAAATTTTTCCATACAGTCCTTTCCCCACCTAACACACTCAGTGTTCAGTAGACAAAAATGCTTCATCTCTCATAGTCTTACCTGACGGAATTATGAACAGGTCCAGAGTTTTTTGCTTTATTCCCCTTTTTTCTTTGTAGAATTGAGTGTAGGCAGCACACACCACTTGCTGAGCTGCCACGTGAGCATGGGCAATGCCTGACCCCTGAGAGCTTAGCAATTGTTTGTTCCATGGTGTGAGATGGCTGCAGCAGGAGCAGAGTTTCCAAAGTTTAACAGAAAGAGTTTGGAAGGGAGTTAAGAGAGAAAGGAAAGAACTGTCGCACTAGTTTCTAGTGCAAGCTTTCAAGCAGTGTAACAACCAGAAACACTCACTGCACTGTATGACTGACATCTTTTATGTACCAAGAAGACAGTGCAATCTGATGGGAAGCATGTACGTTTGCAACTGGTAGTCCAGCTTAAAACGTGTGAACGGTCAGTTCTTGTACAGGAGGGAGAACACAGGCAGAATTCCATGCTATTCTGTATATTCTTAAATGTCCTGAAGAAGGGAGATAATCAGCAAGGTGACAAGGCTTTGCTGGCTATAGGAGGTAATGCTAGGCAGTGAAGGAAGTTGCACCCCAACCACTGAGCTCTTTCTGAGGCAAGATCTTCAAAATGCTTCAAATTGCTGTCCTTGCCTTGCAAGCCCTTCAGCTTTGCTCTGTTCTCTGCACCCTCACTACACAGGCCAGTGCTCCCAAGGCTTCTGTGAGGTGCCCTTGGGCTGACTGTGATTTTCCCCCTCTCCTGTGCAGGGGCACTGGCAAGCACCTGCTCACAGCTCCTGCTTGTGCAGGTGCTGGGGTCATGCCCTGCACTTGAGCAAAGGTTCCTGCTGCTGGCCTTGCCCAGCACATATCCTGCCCCAGTTAATTTGTTAATGTTTACATCAATCCTCTATTGTCAGTCACCACACCTTGGCTGGAGCTTGCTAATAAGAGATAAAATCTCAGTGAAACAACAAAAAGCACAGAACAGAGTTTGGAAAGTGTATGCTAAAGCATAGCACATGGTGCACATATACTAAGCTAAAACCAAAAATAAAGCAAAACTCCAATAGCAAACTTAAAAAAAAATCTATACTCCACTGGTACATGAAAACCTTGGCTTTTAGCATTGATTGAAGCAGAGTCTTGCAAAGTATGTGTCACAGTGTAGTGAGCCCAACTGGGCGTGGGGAGTAGGAAGATTATTTAATTTAAACCTTTTGCACCAAAGTCCCTACTAACTTATATCCTATTCAGCTGAGCTGAAGTCAAGACAACATGATTCAGAGCTGTTTGCTGCACTTGCTCATGTTCTGAGGCATATTATCATGAATCTGTAAGCTCCTGTACAAAATTCAGATGTTAACTGAAGTATCCAAGTTTGTGCCCTTACAAGGAAGCTACAAACCAAATTTTGATATGTTCTTGTAATAAGTCCCCCAATAGCAGCTTAAGACAGTTGGACAGTCTCAGAGTTTGTATTCAAAGGAAATGTCACAGACCCCATTCAAGGAGACACTGCTGTCGCTGCAAGGTGGGGTTTTGTGTTCTCACCAGCTCCATCTCCTTCTTCTGCCCACACCCCATGCATTAAACAAAAAAAAAACAAAAAAAAAAAANAAAAAAAAAAAAAGGCAGCAGGATGGCTTCCCTGATACAGGTCATAGTACAACTCCAAAAATAGCTGTGCCAGCAAAAGTGAGAGTGCAGGGCAAGGCATTGTGCACAGCCAAAGAAACAAGGCACACAGAGCAGAGAGACTTTAGATCAGAAATACTCAAAGATGATGTGAAGAGCCCTGGCCATTGGCAATATCCAACTGGAGCAAACATGCACCCTGAAATCACTGAAGAGACTTAGGCAGAGGTGCAGAGGAGGAGGGCTACTGTGGGGGTTTTTCTCCTTCTGTGTCACACTGAAGCTTTTTACTCTGAATCTAGTCTACATTAAGAAACAGAAATTTGCTTCATTTGTGCAAACAAGTTACATTCTTATCTCAGTCTATATGTTGAAAGCCTTATACACTTTAAAGTGTAAATGCAAATGATGGCTACTCGTGTGCCAGCAGGGCAATCCCAACCATGTCAGGAGCTGTTCAGAAAAACAGGAAGGAACAATCTGAAATGAGTAAGAAGAGTAGGAGAAACACCTAAACAGACATTACCCCCGATGCTTTCAAAGCAAAATGGCAAGAGTGCTTGAGCTCTTGTGAATTAGCCAAGCCAGATTTTTTTGGTGATGAACACCATGGATATTATCCTCAGGATCACCATGAACCTGATGAGATCACTAATTGTGACTACTGCAAGTTGCATTTCTCCAAGAACTGAAATTCCCAGGCCCCTTGGGAACACAACTGTTTTTGTCCTGTGAATTTTCATTAGCTCAAATAATCTGCATTTGGAAAGTTTGATTGGTCATATATGCCAAAACTGTTCCCTTCAGGAATCCAGCAACTTGTACTTCTGAAGGGGAACAACTGACAAATTTGCAGGTGTGGTTCCAGCACTTCCTTGCTTTACTTTGGGTTAAACAGAATTGGTTCTTCTTATTCCCCCAACAGGAAAAATCACAGGGTATGATATTAAAAAAAAATTATTTTGATTAAACTGACTTTCCACAATGCCTTATGTAAGACAAGAATTTGATTAAGTATTAGATTTGTCAAAAAATTATGAATGTAGAGATGCCACACAGAAAACAAAAAGCAAATAACTTCCTTATCTTTAACATTCCTAGGCAGTGTCCAAAAGAAAACAGGCACAAGGAGCTTTTTATTTCAAGGAAGAAGGGACATTTGAATTTCACATCTTTTTCATGGAGGGATTGATAGCAAAGTTTTTAAATACACCACATTAAAAAAAAAATAGGGAAAATCTCCTCCATGCAGGAAAGGTATTTAGATTGGGAAAAAAAAAAAAAAAAAAAGTCAGACATTCACAAATTAGGAAATGGCAGATTTGCACTTACTCATGCAGTCATAATTCTATGCCCTTGTGGAATCATCCTGTATGCTGAAATTAAGCAGAATACTGGTCAAGGAAAAAAAATCCAGCATGTAATCCTGTAACTGAAGACCCTCATTATTCCTAAGCAGACTCTCGCTTTCTAGAGAGAAGTCTAGATGGGCCAAAAGAGAGAAAAATTATCTTGTGCACAGTTAAAACAATCTGTTCACAAATGCAACATGAGCATTCCTTGAATCCTGAACATCGCAGTACTGCAAATCTGAAATGCAGAACAAATAACTCTAGCTGGAACCAAGCCTTTAGAGGAGGATTAACCCAAAACAAACTCTGAGGAGAGCCCAGTCAAGCCCACCCTCTTCCAAGGAACTTTTAGGTGTGCAGCACGTGGCACTTCCAGACCAAAAGAAACGGGAGGAGCTGCTCTGCTTGGGAAGGTTATAAAGACTCCACTCATGCTTCTTTCTTGTGCTCTCTATTCACATGGGAGCTGGGGAGGAGGGCAGGGGTTGTGTAGCAGGTCTGCAGACAGGTTCTGACCTGCAACTGCTCCATCATCAATAGACTTTCAGTACAAGAGCTGCCCACAGCTCCTCTGAGCTCTCATTAGCTCATGCTACATGGTACATACTGGCACTGCTGTAATTCATGGTTCTCACACACTCCCAACATTTTCCAGAAAAGGCACAGGTCTGGCAGGTACTGCAGCAACCTACAATGTTGCTAATTCAGCAGATGCCATGGGGCAGAGGAAAGGTACTCTGCACTGAGGACCTCCTGCTTGAGTAAGTTTAATACTAGGGCAAATACTGAGAGCAATATGGATCTCAAAGATGTGCAAAACCTGTTCATCCACAAAGGCTATGCAAATAGCAAGTTTGCTCTTAGCTCCTCAATAAACTAAAGGCATTCATTCAATCATAGTATTAATTTGATCTCTTTCTCTGGAGTAATTCCAAGCATGCCATTTCCCTTTCCATTTTACAAACCGCTTGTATTTAGCTGTAATGAATTGGTGATCCCCACAGTTATCTATAGTTCCTGCATGTGGTAGAAAAAATCCCCACACCACAGGGTTCTTGAGTCCAGAGAACAAATAAAACAGAACAATCACACAGCTAAAAAGTCCTTTTACAGATTTGTCTGGTCTTCCCAGTTTGGTCCTCTTCAGGAAGGAGAGCCCCAAGCAGGACTGGGCACAGGGCTCACAGCGCTTCCCTGCTCACCTGAGCATCCCCTGCTCTGCTCACAGCTGCAGCTGCTGCTGGGGGACCTTGGCTGGAACGTGAGGTCAAACCTGCAGACAGAGCAGCACTGGGCCAGGCAGGGTTCCCAGGGAGAGGACTCCTCCTTACAGCACAGCACAGAAATCCAAGAGGCACTGCAGGCTTGGGGAGATGGCTCTACCCCTGGGCTGCCTTGTGGAAGCTCAGGATTAGCTTGCATTTGAAATGTGCCATCCACTCACAGATAGGAAGGAGCCTGGCATCAACAACCCCACTGGACTGAAAATGCCTGACTTTTTCTGATCTGGGAAACTAAATCACTCTGGACGTAGCCAGCATCTAGCCAGATGATTGCTTGGACAAATTTCATAACACAGGCGCTCCCTCCCCAAACCATGATTTTTTGTGTCACAAATTCTGTTTCTCAAAACAAACAAACAAGCACATGCACACCCCCCCATTTGAAACCCAAAGTTGTGTCTGTATTTCCTTGGCTAAAAACAACTGCATTTCTGACTTTAAACGTTTGGGAATTATACTAATCTAATCTAGTTGTATTAAACCAAATTATTACTACTGGAAGTAAATAAAGTACTAATTTAGTTTCAAAGCAGTTTGGTTTGCTTTCACCTGTCAAGAGTCAACTCTTGGATGTTGTTTTTAGCTTTCTTTTTCCCACTCCCTTGAACTGCAATGAAAAGCCAAACCAGAAACCTGCAGCCACATCTTTTTGTTTCCAAGCCAAGAAAGATCAGTACAGCTGCCCTTTAGAATAGTGTAGAAAAAAATATGTACCCTTTTGAACATGCCAGAAGTAATGTTTTTAGGTCTATTTAGATACCTGGCAGGTCATCTCTGACTAGATTTGAGTTTATCACACATGAACCTAATTTCTGCAGCCTATTAATGGCTTTTGAGGTAAGAACAGAAGTCTATTTGAATCCAACAGCAAATTTTATTTGGACACAACTGGAAATTCACTCAGGCTTTTAACAACAGCAGCAGAATAACACAAAACCTTGAGACACCTTGAGTATGGGGTATGTGTCAATTCAGGGGGGTGACACTGGCAATCTGTCTTAGTCACGTGAAAGTACCAGTGTTTGTCACTACCAGTCAGAAAAACAGGCAAAACTCACTATATTTTAATGTTCATCCACTGTATGTGCTGCCCATCTTACTTGGAGCTTAACTCCTACTTGAGTTTCTGATGATACTCTTAGATTAATATAACTTTGAGATTGTCTTTCAGCCATTTAGCCTTTAACCTTAAGACTCTTCCTCAAACTATCAATTTGAACTTTCTTCAGATTCTGGGTCTAATGGATTTTGTAATTAAAGGCCCTTAGAAATTTTAGAAGTATCCTCTAGTTTTCTAGAGAACATAATGTTAACAAAAGTACAAAAGATTCACAACACTTCCATAAGAATGGGAGAAAGTACAGAGAAAATCTCATAAGAATTGTTGGCATCTCTTGAATGTATGTCAATGCATCTTGCCAATTACAACTCTGTGAGGCCCATAAATATTATGTTTCTAGCTAGGAAGGAGAGTGAGAACTAAGTTCTTTAGATAAATTCTGTTTTTCACATAATCCGCAATACAGAATCAAAAGAAACCTAACTAGATTGGTACTAAATCCAGTTATTAGACAAATCAAAACAAGCATCTGGAACCAAAGATTTCATTCTAAGAACCAACTAAATATATATTTGTGAGAAATATCTGTTTTGTCATTTCTGGAAAGCATTATGGGCAACCTTCCAGAAAAAATGCAATAAATTTATATGAATTTATGGCTTTACTGTGTATCTTAAAAGCAAGTATATAACAATTAGCCCATTGATGTGAAATTTATTGCTCTTCTCTTGGGCAGTGTTATGCTTTGTAATTCAGCTTTTAGAAACAAACAGTCCAGCAATTTCTAATGCAAATTCACAAATAGATGCATCACTTAATCCTGGTGATGTTAAGTAGGATAAACTCCACACTGCAAAAACATACTAAAATTCTTGAATTCACATCTGTCTCGTACTTCAGAGGAAAGTTATCTCACAGAGGTATGGAGACAGAACAGCTGTACTGCTTTTGGCTGGCCGAATCTTTCCTGATCACCGGGAACCTAAAAGGCAAGATTTAAAACTACCTTATTACAGCATGCAGAGTACTGACAGCCATTACTTAATATATGTCTGGTGCACTTAACCAGGTCACCCTGGTTCCCTCAGCAGGTGATGGAATGCACTTACTGCAAATTACAGGCCAGGTTTCTGCCACAAAGTACTGCTGGTGAGAGAGTGAGGAAGCAGGCCCAGCCCAGCCAGCCCTGTGAAGCACTGGGAGCCACAGCCTGCCCAGCCAGCCCTGCCAGCAGGGGCAGATCCCCCCTCAGCTCTCACCC